TCCTGCTCCAGCTGGGCACCAAGGACAAATGATCCAAATCTCAGCCCAGGAGCACAAACCCCGTGGGCTGCAGAGAGAAAAACAAGCAGGATGGGAGTGCAGGGGCTGAGCTGGAATTGGACACTGAACTGCAATGTGCACATGGAGCAGAGCTGATCCCAGGGAGAGACCCCGGGAGCGCTCGTGCATTTTGGGACCATTTGGGTTCATCCTGGGTGCAGCCCTGGCTGGGCTCTTGTGCTGCCCAAGGTGCATCCATGGAGGAGATCCTTGAATCAATCCCTGCTTTATTCTGGAACTCTGCCCAGCCTAGGGCAGCCTTCTCAAGGCATCACACCCTGGGAGAGGAACAAGGATGAGAGAAATATCAGTTATCTCCTGAGCCTTGAGCTTCTGGATTTACACTCAAATTTCCACAGGAACCCAACCCAAAATCCACCTCCAGTGATCATTTCCATGGTCTTCAGGAGCCACTGGAATATGTTCCAGCAAGGCACTGGGCTGCTGAGTTTCTCTGTAGCACATTTAATCCTGTCACCTGTTTCCTTCATTTTTCCCACTTCTTCTTGAACCATGGCTGTGTTTTTGTGTTGGCTCTGCCTTTAACCTGGTTTTACATGGAATCATGGAATGGTTTGGGCTGGGAGGGACCTGGCTTGTACAGTCCCCACTCTCATAAGGCCAAATTGGTGTGGAAGAAAACCAAGTTTCTGTGGGAGGTGTCCCTGCCCATGGCAGAGGGTGGGACAACACGGGCTTTAATGTCCCTCCCAACCCAACCCAGCCCAAACCATTCCATGATTCTGTGTATGCGTGCTTTTTATACCTTCTTACAAAACTCACAAGTTTACACTTTGCTCACTGGTCAGGAAACACAAACAAAGTGCTCATTGGAATGGGCAGCTGCAGGTTTCTCTTACTTCTCCTTCTTTCTTTCTTGGTTTCTGTATCAATGACCTTGGTGGGAAATCCTTTCAGGAGTGAACATGGATCAAACTTCTCTCTCCTCACAGAAGTCGCTGTAAAACCTCTTCCACACATGGAGGCCTTTTAAGAAATCCCTGCTTTATTTTTTAACTCTGTCCAGTTCTGGATCTACCTTCCCAAGGCATCACCCCAGTGTCCAGCCTGGCCTTGGGCACTGCCAGGGATCCAGGGGCAGCCCCAGCTGCTCTGAGCACCCTGTGCCAGGGCCTCACACCCTGCCAGGGAGGAACCTGAGCCTGGAAAGGGATTTCAAACAACCCTGCCCAAAACAAAAGGGTTCTCAGCACACACAAGGCTCTGCCCAGGTTTCTGAGCCAACCAAGAGACCAGAAATGTGCCCGGGTGTCAGAACTGGGGACAAACCCCAGAGGTGGCAGCAAGGGACAGGAATGAGTCACGTACTGGAGAAGCAGCAGAGCTGCTGTGGCCCCGGCCTTGCACAGGAAATGTCTCAAAACAAACAAGTGAAAGCAGCTTTTGTGGGGACAGAAAGCACAGCTGGGCAGAAACCACAAACCTGGCAGCACGGCAGAGCACAGGGCAGCACCTCGCAGGAAGGCTGTGCATTAAAAATGATAATAATAATAATAATAATAATAGAATTACTGGCTTTCATTTTGACTGTGCTGATCCATGACATACTGGGAGGTTTAATAAACTGAGTTGAGTTCTGCTCAGACAGAACTCAGGCTTCCAAAGGTTTGATGAAAACTTGCCAAGACAAAGAGCATAAATTGGTGTATACTGAATTTTAACACAAGTAATTCCCACCAGACTTCCCAATGGCTTTTTCAGTACTTTTTTCCTAGAGAAACAGCATCACCTTCAGGCCAAAAAAAAAAAGATACATTCCAGTTTTTTTAATTGGGAAAACTTAAGAGAAATACATCTCAAATCTTGCACATTTTTTATTTCTTTCTGAGTCAAGATTGCAAAACATGAACATGCAAAAAAAAAAAAAAAATAATAGCACTGTACACAAATTTAAAAATTAATGGGAAGGAACAGTCTCTCCTATTTATGGATGCACTGAAGCTTAAGAAGACCCCACACAGAAAAAATCAAGACAGGAAAAATATAAATATGCAATTTTAATTCTCCATTTCTTTGCCACTTTTACCAACTACTGTGGCAATTGTTCTGCAAGCTGAAATCCCCAGTGACAACAACACAGACAAAAGGCCCGTGTGGTAGAGGAACAGTAGAAAACAGGATGTTTCAGGCTGTGCAAGAAGACATTCTCAGCAGAAATCAGACGTCTGCTCAAAATTCAGACATCAAATGCTAAACCACAGCAGGAAATGCTTGTGCCCTGCAGAAAGAGCAAAGCCTGTCTGCTGAGAGCCAAGGGAGCAGCCTGTGCTGCTGGGAGGCTCCCTGCTCATGGCATGGAACAAGCTGAGCTTTAGGGTCCCTCCCAGCCAAACCAATTCCACAACTCCTGGTTTTAAATCAGGTTGGATTAACTGTGCCAGGGAAATAGCAGTGAACTCTCCAGGTTGTTTTCTCTGACTTTGTTTGAGAAACAAAGGGCAGAGGCTGCAGAGAAGAGGAAATTCAGCTTTTGAGCCGTTTCCTCAGACACCTACTGCCCTGCCCAGGGCGGCTCTGCAGGGCACTGCCAGGGCCTGAGCTGCTCCTCACCCAGCCTGGCAGGGACTGAGCCCCAGGGACAGCACAGCCTGGCTGAGGATGCACCAGGGACAGCACAGCCTGGCTGAGGATGCACCAGGGACAGCACAGCCTGGCTGAGGATGCACCAGGGACAGCACAGCCTGGCTGGGGATGCACCAGGGACAGCACAGCCTGGCAGGGACTGAGCCCCAGGGACAGCACAGCCAGGCTGAGGATGAACCAGGGACAGCACAGCCTGGCTGAGGATGCACCAGGACAGCACAGCCGGGCTGAGGATGCACCAGGGACAGCACAGCCTGGCTGAGAATGCACCAGGGACAGCACAGCCTGGCAGGGACTGAGCCCCAGGGACAGCACAGCCTGGCTGAGGATGCACCAGGACAGCACAGCCCGGGCTGAGGATGCACCCACGGAATGCTCCAGGGGGAATGGGCCCTGCAGGGGCTCCAGGAGAGCTGGACAGGGACTGGGGACAAGGCCTGGAGGGACAGGAGCCAGGGAATGGCTGCCAGAGGGCAGGGCTGGGTGGGATACTGGGAATGAGGAATGTGGGAATCTTAAAAATCAGAGGGTTTTGGGAAAGCTGTATAAGGTAGGTTCAGAGACAGCAGAACTGTGATTAGGAGTTCTGCTTCACCCTGGGAGGGTGGGCAGGGCTGGGGTGGGACTGGATGATCTCTGTGGGTCCCTTCAGCTCAGGACATTTTGGGATTCTCTGATTCACTGCCCACCCTGTGCCAGGCCTCTCCAGGGGACACCTGCAGGGATGGGCACTGCAAAGCTCCCTGGGCAGCCCCTGCCAAGGCCTGAGCACCCTTTCCATGGGCAAATTCCTGCTGCTGTCCCAGCTGAGCCTGCCCTGGCCCAGCCTGGGGCTGTCTCCTCCCCAGCACTGTGGCAGCCCAAGGGAAAAGAGCTGTTGGTAATGGCCTTGGGTTTTTGAGGTTAAGTGGTTTTCGTATCCTTACAAGTGGTTTATCCAAAGTCTCCCAGCAGCTGAGGGTGGCAATAATGCTACAGGCGCAGTGGGGTTCCATGGCTTGGGTATATTCAGGATTTTGTAGAGGTCCAAGGGTGTCAGGATGGTGCCAGACTCTGCTCAGTGGTGCCAGTGGCAGGACGAGGAGCAATGGCCAGGAACTGAAACACAACAATTCCAGCCCAGCCTGAGGAAGAACTTCCTTCCCTGGAGGGGCAGAGCCCTGGAAGAGCTGCCCAGGCAGGGGCTGGAGGCTCCCTCTCTGGAGACATCCCAAACCCCTGGGCACGTTCCTGTGTCACTGCCTGGGCAGGGGGCTGGCATGGGTGGTCTCAGAGGTCCCTGTGCAGGCTCAGAATGTTCCTCTGCAGACTTCCCTGCTGTTAGTCAGCCTCTCAGTATTCCCATAAGCTGATTTATGTAAGTAAATAGACCATCTGCTTGTTTCAGAGATGTAGGGGAGAGCTTTTCTGAATATGAGCCGCTGACTTTCAAAACATCAAAGCTGCTTTTTTTTCTTTTCTGATTGGAAGCAAATGTAGCCCCACCCAGCCTGAACCTGAGAGCCAGAAAGGGGTTTAGTTCACCTGAACTTAACAGATTATTTCTGTCCTGTGTTAATATAGGAATATACAAGGTTATATATGAATATATTATATATATTAATTTATATATATTATATTAATTTTAAAGTATTCATTATATTATATATATATATTTAAAATCATGCCAGAGTGTGCTCTGGCATGATTTTAAACCGGTTGTTTTTCAGAGAAAATAATTCCAGTTGTATTTGCAAATAATGTTAAATTAAATAGCAGTTAATTTTTGAGGGGAAGATTTTTTAGAAATAGATACACCTTTGCCCAGCTAACTCAAAACCAGGTCGTGTGGATATTAATATTAGGAGGATGTTTAATAGAGTAAAAAATAACAGTGAAGAGAAGGATTATTTTAATAGCTCTTATGCATTAAAAGATTGTAACAAACTTCATAACTTCTTTGTAATTAATTTTTTCTAAGTGCTCTGTTGATCTTTTCCCTTTTTGGAAACAATTCCTACAATGGTTAGGAATTTATTTCAAACAAAGCCAAACAAAGTTTGTTTTCATTGTATTAATGGAGTGAGTGGCATGCAATTTTCAGATACTGTCTAAATGCAAAGTTCATAGAAATAGTTATACAGTAGTTTCTGCTTTATTTGAAGTGGTAGAAGCCCATTCCACGTGGAAAAAGGAAAGTGCTGTTGCCATGAAAATGCCATAAAATGATAAAGATCAGTGCCCCCCAGTAACTCTTGCAGTACCACTGCCCTCCCTCAGACACTGGAGAGGGTAAAACAAGTCTGTACAGAAACTTTGGGTTAATTAAAAGTGATTTACTAAGGCAATTTACTGTGAGCATTTAGTAAAATGTGTTGTTTTTCATGTATTTGTAGGAACAGAAGCAAAATGTTCCTTTTGCAAGCAGAGGGGTTTGCTTGTTAATCTCCACGAGAACCCCAATGGATGTGCCAATGCCTCTCTGTCAGCTTGGTAAGTACCTCAGCCTTTGGGGTAGAGAGCAGCACTGCAGGGGGCTCATTAATTCATTAATAATCCTGCTGAGTTAATGAAGTAAGAGACCATTATGGTATTGTGGACCTCTCCCCGGAGTGATTCCCAGAATAAGGATCTCTTGTGTTACCCCTGCGTGCTCCGTTCTGTGCTTAAACCATGAGCAGGGGCTGGAGCCAGGCTGGGAGAGCTGGGGTGCTCACCTGGAGAGGAGAAGCTCCAGGGAGAGCTCAGAGCCCCTGGCAGGGCCTGAAGGGGCTCCAGGAGAGCTGGAGAGGGACTGGGGACAAGGGATGGAGGGACAGCACACAGGGAATGGCTGCCAGTGCCAGAGGGCAGGGCTGGGTGGGATTTGAGGTCCCTTCCAGTCCAGGCCATTCCATTCCATGGTTCTGCCTCCCTGCACATTTAGAAACTCTCAGTTAGATATGAGGGTTTTTATTTTTTATTCTGAGTTTTTCCAGCACTCCTCAGTTTCTGGCTTAGCAGGTGAAGCAAGCTCAGTTTGGCTGAGCTGTACTTGTGAGAAGGGAGTTTGTTAGGTTAGGATCCTTTAATTCTGTAAAAAGGTCAGATCATCATCCCAGAACCCCAGAGTGGTTTGGGCTGGGAGGGACCTGCAAGCCCATCCATCCTGCCAGGGCAGGGACACCTTCCCCTGCCCCAGGCTGCTCCCAGCCCCTGTCCAGCCTGATCTGGGACACTGCCAGGGGCAGTAGAAGCTCAAATTGGCCAAGATGCTGAAGAAGATTCCCCATGCAGTTCCCAGACCATGTGTATTTCCCCAGGCTGAATCTTCCCAGTTACTTGTTCTCAGATATTTGTCTTGGCTGTGTCTCCTTTGTAAGAGTGTAACACAAACAGTTTTGCAACTGTTCAACTTCCTTTGCTAAATTTGTTTGTTGAAACAAAGTTCAGAGGCAGTTTGAGCTGTGAACGGAAAGGAATTTGGTTTGGGTAGAGAAGAGGCATTGAAAAATCAAATAATGCTAACTGGAATACAGCAGCAATTCAGCAGACACAATTTATTACAAATCTGAGCTTGTGTTCAGATAATAATAATAGGAGTTAAAATATTGCTTTATTTATCCCCACTGGATTTTTTTTTCAAATGGGTGATCTCCTACCTCATTAGAAATCCATTGTTCTGCATTTAGCTGCAGTTAAACCCATTATTTGTGGATTTCCATAAAGATTGTTTAAATTTTCTAGTTCAAGGCCCAGATTTCTCTTCTCTTTTCAGTCATGCTGACTGTGGCACATCTTTTTAACACAACAGGTCAAGACAAAAGAGAGTTTTAGGGAAGACAAGGAAGGAACTCCCCAGATTTTCCCATGGAATTCATGTCAAACAGAGAAGACATGTTTGGAATTAAAGTAGTGACTGCTTTGGCCAACTGAGTGTGGGAGTCAGCATCTCCTGAGTCAGAGGCATGACCACAAAGTGCCTTAAAACAAGAACAGGAAGTTTCTCCTTGTTGCCCTCAAAGCAGAAGGGAGGCTGAAGGTTCTTGAGAAAAAAAAAATAAGTCAGAACAAAAACTTCAAGTGTTTTGAAGCACTGTGTTGAAAAGATGGGAGCAATGAGAAGCTGGGTCGGTCAAGGAAAAGAATCCTGGGTGCAGTGAGAGCCAGGGTGGATCACAGCCTCCTGGGGAGGTTTTACAGGAAGATGTAGGAACCTCTGGAATGGCAGGATTGCCAGGGAAGCTGTGGCTATCCCTGGCAGAGCCCAAAGCCAGCTTGGAGCAGCCTGGGACAGTGGAAGGTGTCCCTGCCATGGCAGGGGTGGCACTGGGTGGGCTTTAAGGTCCCTTCCAACACAAACCATTCTGGGATCCATGAGGGTGAGTCAAGCAATAATGGAATATTTTCCCAGATCAGTTCTAAAATTCTTGGGATGGCTTGAAAAGGTGTTTGAAATACAGTCAGAGTCCTCTGAGACATCATTTGATGAGAACATCTTGGGTGCTTTTGCTGACACTGAGTCTTGAACATCACATGGAGGGAGCAGCATAGGGATCCAGGACCCAGCTCCTCCTCAGAGCCCCAGGTTCATGGACACTTCTCCCAGGCTCTGGAAAGAGGGAAGTGTAGGAAAGTCTAGGAAGGTGTGAAAGAAAGTAACAGTTCCACCAGGGAGTACTGGGGTGAACCCAATTGTTGCAAATGAATACTTGCAATACAAGTCAGGTCCTGTGGCTGCACCAATGCATTAACACAGAGTTTCACTTTCCAGTGTGCCTCACCTTTCTGTCTACAGCTGTTTGCAGCCAGCCTGGTAAGAGTGTTACCATCTTTAAAATGCTTTTCCTAACACATTTCATAGCTTGCACATCCTCACCAATCATCATTTTGGAACTTCATGCTTTTTGGAGAAAGAATTGAGAGAAATGTAATCCATGTGCACAGTGCTTTGCATTGCTGTGTCTGTTGTGCTGAGCTCTCCCCTGTGGCTGCTTTTTGGGGCAAATCCTGAGCTGCTCTAAATGGGTTTATTTATTAGAATGGTTGCAAAACTCAGAGTTGTTTGTTGGGGGCTGGGATTTTGTTATTTTTTCCTTTCTAGAAAGAACTTTGGAGGGGCTTCCTTACAACCTCCAGATGGACTCCCACAATTTCCAGCACATTTTGTCCTGGCAGGCAGACCATGACCCAGCTGTGCCAGCATCCTACAACGTTCTCTACAGAGACCGCAGGCAAGTCACACAAAATAAGGCACAAATTCTGCTTTTACTGTCTATTGACCCAAAGAGGAGGGAGCTTTGCAGTGCCCATCCCTCCCCTGGAGGTGGCACTGAGTGCTCTGGGCTGGGGACAAGGTGGCCATGGGGCACAGCTGGCACTGCCTGGGCTGGGAGGGCTGTGCCAGAATCCTCACTGATTTGGGGATTCTGTGAAAATAGTAAGGCTGAGATTTTTCTCTGTTTTCTTGGGGTTTTTTTTTTAGGTTTTTTTTTGTTTGTTTTCTGGGTTTTTTGGGGTGTTTGTGGTTTTTTTTTTTTTTGGGGGGGGGTATT